AAGAGTGTTGGACTTTGTCAGTGGTTTTCGGTATCTATTAGGATGATCATGTATTGTTTGTCCTTTATTCTACTAATGTGGTGTATTACATTGGTTGATTTCAGATGTTAAACCAACCTTACATTTCTGGGATAAATCCCACTTGGTCATGGTGTATAATCCATTTTGTATGTTGCTGGCTTCACTTTGATACTTTTCGAGGCCTTTTTCTTTGTAGGCAGTTTAAAAATTACTAATTCAGTCTTCTTTCTTGCTATAGTTCTATTCAGATTTTCTACTTCTTCTTGAGTAGTTTGTATCTTGGTATCCTTGATAGCTTGTATCTTCCTTGAAATTTGTCCATTTCATCTAATTTATCTAATTTGTTGGCCTAAAGTTGTTTGTAATATATACATATATGTGAAATATATATATATTAAAAAATTTTTTTTAATATCTGCAAAGTTGGTAGTGATGTCTTCTCTTTCATTTCTGATTTTAGTAATTTGAGTCTCTTTTTTTCTTGGTCTCGCTAAGGTTTGTCAATTTTATTGGTCTTTTCAAAGAATCAACTTTTGGTTTTATTGACTTTTCTCTATTGTTTTTTATTCTCTCCTTCACTTATTTCTGCTCTAATCTTTATTATTTCCTTCCTTCTGATTTAGATTTATTTTGCTCTTCTTTTTCTAGTTTCCTAAGGTGAGAGGTAGTGTCATTGATTTGAACTCTTTTTCCTTTGCTAATGAAGCTGTAAGTTTCCCTTAAGTACTGCTTTAGCTCCATCTTGTAAGTTTTGCTGTGTTGTGCTTTAGTTTTCAATCATCTCAAAGTATTTTCTAATTTCTCTGGTGATTTCTTCTTTAACCTATATGTTTTTTAGGAATATGTTGTTTAATTTCTGTATATTTGTGCATTTCCCATATTTCCTTCTCTTAATTATTTCTGCTTGAATTCAGTTGTGGTTGGAGACCATACTTAGCATGATTTAAATCCTTTTAAAACTTATTGAGGCTTTTTTTTTTAATGCTCTAGCATATGGTTTATCTTGGAAAATGCTCCATGTGCTCTTGAGAAGAAAATGTATTCTGTTCTTATTCAGTGAAGTGTTATATATATATAGCTGTGTTTTAATATAATATTTATAATAATTGGTTTGAAATCCTTGTCTGCTAAGTCAACTTCTAATCCCCTCAAAGGCAATTTCAATTGTCTGCTTATTTTCCCCTGTATGTGTGTGTGTGTGTGGGGGGGGGGTTGCATATCTTGTAATTTTTTGTTGAAAACTGGATATTTTAGGTAATATAGTAACTCTAATTATTTCCATGCTCCTCTGGGGCTTGTTATTATTTGCTTTCTTGCTCATTTATTTGTTTAATGGCTTCTCTGGACTAGTTTGGTTAAGTCTACACCCTGAGCTACACCCTGAGCGTGGAGTCTTAACCACTGGACTGCCAGGGAAGTCCCTAAACTGTGATTTCTGATATAAAATAATCTCTAATCAATGAGGAGAAAGAGAGGCGGGAGGATAGAGAGGGAGAGGAAGAGGTAATAAGAGAGAAATAGAATTCATCACTGGCTTGTGCATTCAAAGTATTTAGAAATCAAAGAAGTATAAGAGGCATCCTATAGCAAGTAGGAAAAGATGCCTCCTTAAATTTTGATATCCAAGTTCCAAAGACCAAAGGTTATAGTGAAGAAAAAGGATGATGCCAAAAAGATTGGAGTTGCACAAGAAGAAAATCAGGGAGTCTGGAAGCTTGGATGAGTTAGAATTGTAGAGAGATGGAGCCTTGAGAAGTGGGAGGGAGGAAACTGGTGGTCATTATTCTGTAATAGAACCTCCCCTCACCCCAACAGTGTAGATGAGGCATCTTACAGACTCAGTGTACATGACTGGAGCTGACACAGGGTAAAATTGACCAGAATCTCATTCCCGATATTTTAATAATTTCATTTGTACCTTTAATTTTCTTTCCTCATTTCCTGGTACGTCATGGACATGCACACTTTAGTTAGCTAGAGTTGAAATTTCCAGATAAAAACAGATTTCACAATTACTTTATTTCTTAATATCTGTGAGCTGTGTTGCAGTAAAGATCATAGGCTATTTGTTCCATACTCATGGAAGTGCCTGATTCTTGGCAGAGTGCTGTAATTTAAATTTTATCTTATATTCCCTGAGATGTGGGGGATGTATGTATTCATAGCTGAGTCATCGTATAGAGGCAAGCGTGACCTCTTCCTTCAGGACAGACTTGAAACAACAAAGAGACCAGAAAGGTTTAAAAAATAATTTAAATTATTTATGTCCTGAGTGACTCCCTTCTCTTAATCCACTTAACAAGTAAAATTTATTGAGTACCTACTATGTGTCAGGCACTGTTCTAAGCTTTTGAGAAAGTAAGTGACCTAAGATCTATTCCCTCAGGGAGTTTATGTTTTAGGGGGAGGAGCTAAATAATATGTATATATGAAGTTATTTATATAATATTACATATATAATTATATAACAATACCAAGTAACTATGTTAAGTGAGAAGTTCTATGGAAAAAATTAAAACTAGAACAAGGTTAGGGGAAACAGAGAACTGGAGGTAGGGGACAGAGTTGCAATTTTAAATAGGGTAGTCAGCTTCACTGAGAAGGCTCCCAAGAGTGAAATGCCTTTTTTGTAGTCACTTGGCTAGTCACTGAATGATAGAGCAGGATTTGATCCCAGATCTGACTTTAATGCCCATGCTCTTTTTCTGAAGGGAAAGATGATTGAAGAGTGATAGGAGAGGGCTTCCCTGGTGGCGCAGTGGCTGAGAGTCCGCCTGCCGGTGCCACGGAGCGGCTGGGCCCGTGAGCCATGGCCGCTGGGCCTGCGCATCCGGAGCCTGTGCTCCGCGGTGGGGGAGGCCACAACAGTGAGAGGCCTGCATAATGCAAAAAAAAAAAAAAAAAAAAAAAAAAGAGTGATAGGAGATCTCAAGAAAGTAATGAGCTACTCTAGTCTCCCCTCATCCAATGAGGCGATGGGTAGGCAAGGAGTAGGTATCTAAAGCCATCTAGGTACTTGGCTGAAAGGTTTGGACTGAGCACAGCTTTTAAGATGACATATTCAAAAGCTGGAAGGAGGACACATAACTAAGGGAAAATACAAAAGTGAATCTACAGTGTTAGTGTCTTAGAAGAGAAGCGTTTAGATACATCTTTCAGAGCTATTATCTCTCCCCAAAAGCATACTTTTGAAAACTGGATTACTTAAAACTGTAGGCAAGCATGGGACACTTGCAGGATTTATTTTGGATTTAGGAGGTGTAAAGGCTGAGACACAAATAGATTTTTGTTGACCAGGTCATACAAAAGTTGTCGTTCAATAAAAACCTTTCCAATGTTTGGTTTGAAAATTTTCAGGAAGGAATGTTGTAAATACTTATTCTTTCATGCACTCCCAAAGGCCCTTGCATTTCAGTGGAGAGGGTGTTTTTGAGAGGAAAGAGATTGTCTCTGCTGAGGAATTTGTTTCACCAACAAGGTGACTTTTATAGCATTTTTTGTTTCTGAGCCTCAGAATTAAATCTATATTGTCGTCACAGTCTCTGTAAAGTTTATGAATGAATGGATTCTGGACAGAGAAAAGAAATGCAGAACTCATTGAGTGGATGGTTCTGAAGAAGCTCACTTCTATAAAATTGATACCCCTTTTGACCCCTTATGACCTTGAACCAAAGAAAAATGAATGTTAGCTATATCTTCCTCATTTCATTGAGGAGTCAGCTAAGGCCCGAATAGGTTCCATGGTGACATAGGTGACTCTTGAAGAGCTAACTCCATGGCCAGTGCTTATTCTAGTTTAACAGGGTCCCATCGTATGTACATTTAATTTATGTAAATTTCAAGTATATACATATGGCAAAAAGGAGAAAAAAGTATAAAATTTTAGTTTCATATAGTTTATCATATGTTCTATATTACCACATACATAAAATATTCACATATCCATATGTCTGTATAGGGTTTTATATACAAAATCATGTATACTGTGCTTTAAGAGTAATTTAGAAGGTTTTCCTGGGGTAATTTTGGCTGTAAATGACTTGCATCTCATGTAGGAATTTAAAAGTTAATCCCCTCCTTATAAAACACACCTCCTTGTGTTCCATGTTTTCTCCTTCATTATACTAAAGGTCAGATCATGTCTCCCAGACATGAATTCATGGTGTAAGATTCAGATATGGCTCAGTTTCAAATGCAAGTGTTATTTTCATCATAATCACCAGCAAAGTAAATGGGTTCCATTATATTTATTTGTAGGGTAGGGTTGTGCCAGTGTTGGAATTCAGTGGGGGAGAAAGGAGAATCCTGATCTGCATCTTTTTAGGTGGTTTTAATTCTCACTTCAGTCAATCATCAAAAAATCAATCATCTGCAAGTGTCCGGAATGTGCCTGGTGCACAGTTTCTCCAGTTCTGATGAGGTGCTTAGCATTCCAGAGAAGTTCTCCTACCAGTTCTGTTCTCTCCACCTCACTGTCTTTCCCCTCACTTATTTCTAGCTCCCCTTCAATACCAGACCTATAAATGGGTGTACAGTCAGGTTTAGTGGGACAACCATTTCTGGTCTTTTTAAGATCTGATTTGGACTCACTAGAATAACTGCACAACTTAAAATACATGCTTCTTCATGCCCTTCAAAGAAACGTGGAAAATACAGTCTATTAGACTATGAAAAATTAGAAAATAAAGTCTGTTAGAACTTTGAGATACTTCACAAGTCATCTGGCCCAAACCTCTGATTTTAAAGAAAGTAAGACCCAAAGACTTTTCTCAAGGTTGCATAGCTTTAGCTACAAAGCTAGTTTTTCACACTACTGCTGCAGCTCCCATAGGAGATGTTTGAATAAAGAAACATTATATGTAGATCAGAGCTACAAACAGGGAGACCCCAATTTTTTATGAAAAAATTATTAGAAACTTGGGTCTTCAGTCGTGAGCATCATGCAGCCTGCACTTGCCTCTTTCATCCCCACAAGGAAATGTTATGCTAATAACATACTTGTGGAAAACCAGTCAATGGCTAAATGTACTGCTGAAGCTGAGAATGTGCTTATCAAGGGGGGCAAAAAGTGAAGGAGATGCTTTACAAGATATTCTTGGATGAACAGTTGCCTATATTTGTGATGGGGAAAAGGCTTTATCATGCTATGTACTCAACAGGACAAAAACCAGGGCCAAAACCATAGCTGGGAGACTTACCTTATCTCTTTGAACATATTAAAAACACCAAGTGCCTGTATGTTCACTGTGGGGAGCTACTTTCTCCTTTGAACATGGCAGTGAAGTTCTTTTTAAGAGAAGAGACCCTGTAGGTTAAGCAATTGTGAAGCAATTGCGATGGAATTAAAAAAAAAAGAAAAGAAAAAGCCCAAGGGCTGATCCTTCATGGTTACTAAGTATTGCTACATTGGTTATTGGGGATGGGTAGAAAGGGATTGTGGTGGCTATGGGCATTCAAATTATTCTGGAAAAGATTCATGGAGGAGATGAGTGTGAAACAGTTTTGAAGGAGGAATGAGAAATAGTGAGACTTTGGGATAACTTGGGATAATATTTCTGGAAAAGAAGTTGGAATCTAGAAAGATAAACTCTCACTTGTAAGTGGCAGCCTAATCTGATTTGTTGTTCCAAGGTTATCGACATTCTGTGGAGTGATCCGAGAGGCAAAAGAGGCTGTTACCCAAATACAAGTCGAGGAGGGGGCTGCTATTTCGGACCAGACATTACCTCCAAGATTCTTAATAAATACCAGTTGAAGATGCTCATTAGGTCTCATGAATGTAAGCCCGAAGGGTATGAAATTTGCCATGATGGGAAGGTAAGCTAACAGTGTTGGTGACATCATCAGACATCCTTCCCCCAAGCCTAGTCTTTCTTCACAGGATGTGTCTGACCTCGAAGCCCACAGGAAAATGTCTTCCCTAGGCCCAAAACAGAACTGCATGCTTTGGTAGATCACTGTCCCTCACCCTAAGAGATATTTGGTTTATTTCTCCGATCTTCCCAAATCCCAGAGATAGAGGCTCTGACACATGGCACCTAGTACACACACAGAAAGGCTTTGCTCTGTGCTAATCGCAAGGCAAATCTCCAGTAGTGGGGTTAAGAATGTACTTATCCTCACTGAGCACAGAAAGGCAGCCTTGAATCCAGTTTGCTCTCTTTCACCTTTTGCACTTTCCCTGTGCAGAGCAGAACCACAAAACATAATTCTCTTCTATTCACTGAGTAGGTGAGCTCTAGCAAGTCCCTCTCTGTGGGCAGTTTCGCTGCAGCCACTAAAATGGAATGCGTTGTGCTTCTTCAGTGGTGTCTGATAGGCTAGAGAGGCGAGGCCTGAGGAGCTGGTTTCTTGTCCCAGGTTGTCCTGGGATGCCCCCTTTTCTCATAGTGAACAGCAGTAATTAAAAAGGAATACCAAATTGCATGGCCTTTCCTTCTATTTCAACACTTGCACTTTTCCTAACTCTTTTAGTTCATTGGAGGCTCATACTGACATTGCGAGATGGTAAGGCAAGTATTATTTAGGGTTTATTTGTAATAAGAAAACGGGGAGAAAGTAGCAGTGGTTTGTCTGAAGTGACCTGCCCATTAGGGCAGGACTGGGCCTAAACCAGCTTTCCTGTCACTGACAAGTATTACCCTCCCAAGGCTCCCCATCCTCCCCCACGCCCCCAAGGCTGGTTCCTTGCCAACAGAGTGGCCATGGTCCCTTATCTAGCCACTATTTCTCTGACCTTAAAGCACTGGTTTTGTGGGGGGCCCTGAACCCTCTAAATCAGTCAGCTACAGACAAAAGAAAAGGACTGTGATACTAGACAAGTTTTATTTTGAATGCTCAAATAGCACAAGGAAAGAAAATAAAGGCTTTACCCCCTTGGAAAATTAGAATTTACAGAACTGAGCATTAAGGAGGATTGTAAGATACAGAACTGAAATTGTACACAAGATTGCAAGGCCATGCACTGTGGGGATGAGTGGCTAGAAGTTAGTACTCCTGGAGACGGTGATTTAAAAGCCTTGTTTCTCTTCAATGGAATCACAGGAAATCCCATCAGACTTGGATGATTTGTATGGATTTTGAACTTTGATTTTTGCTTTTTAAGAATTGAGCTGTTTCTGACTTTATTGAAGGACCTTTTGAGAACTAAATCTATGTGAACCTCACACTCTCTTTAACCAGGTTATTACTGTATTTTCTGCATCTAATTATTATGAAGAAGGTAGCAATCGAGGAGCTTACATCAGACTGAGTTCTGGTACGCCCCCCCGATTTTTCCAGTACCAAGTAACTAGGGCAACATGCTTGAGGCCTCTTTACCAAAGGTATGTATACTCTAAGGAGATTTTTGAGCTCTGGTACTAGTGACCAAGTAGAACCAGTCCAGAGTGACTAAGAGCACCCATGGGAGTGAAGAAAATGACTTACTCGTTACTCATTGGTATAAACAAAATGGAAGTAATTCCAGAAGCCAAGTGGTGAATGCGCTCATATTTGAAACCAAGAGCAGCAATTTTCAATGTATACATCTCTTTAGATGGATAAAGCCATCAGCATCCACAAACAGTCCCTAACTGAATATAAGGAAAAGAAAGTCTGTGCACGCACCCACTCCTGTAACCTCCAGCCTTCTCTGCCCCCAGACAGCCCAGTCTGCTCTTGCCTCTTTGTCTCTTCTCTACCCAGAAGTGTATGTGACTGAGTTGAGTATGTGTCTCTGTGTGATGGCATTCATAGCTTATCTCCCTTTCCTCCCTTTGACATTAGCTTTTTAATATTTTTTGTATTATAGAATGAATATGTTTATTGTTAACAAGTGAGACAAAATAAAGATGTATAAAGAAAATGTTAGTGATCTTCCCTCCCAGTACTTCTGAGTAATTCTTTTCCCCAGAGGCAACTGAAATTAATAGCCTAGAGAGGATCTTTCCACCCTCTTCTCCTTGCTCCTACAAAAATAGACAAGCAATTACTCATTCATTGAATTAAAAAAATGTTGAGCACCTACTATGTGTCAGACACTGTTGTAGGCACAGACGATATTGAAATAAACAAAATAGGCAAAAGTCTTTTCCCTCATCAAAGCTCATCCCTGTGGGAGGAGAAAGGCAGTAAACAACATACATACATTTTTTTTTAAAAAACAAAGATAGAATCACACTGCACGGTCTATTCTGCAACTGACTCTTTCC